CACGCGCTCCCTCACTCGCCACGCGCACCCTCACTCGCCACGCGCACCCTCACTCGCCACGCGCACCCTCACTCGCCACGCGCTCCCTCACTCGCCACGCGCTCCCTCACTCGCCACGCGCACCCTCACTCGCCACGCGCTCCCTCACTCGCCACGCGCTCCCTCACTCGCCACGCGCTCCCTCACTCGCCACGCGCTCCCTCACTCGCCACGCGCTCCCTCACTCGCCCCACGCGCCCTCACTCGCCACGCGCTCCCTCACTCGCCCCACGCGCCCTCACTCGCCACGCGCTCCCTCACTCGCCCCACGCGCACCCTCACTCGCCACGCGCTCCCTCACTCGCCACGCGCTCCCTCACTCGCCACGCGCTCCCTCACTCGCCACGCGCTCCCTCACTCGCCACGCGCTCCCTCACTCGCCACGCGCTCCCTCACTCGCCACGCGCACCCTCACTCGCCACGCGCACCCTCACTCGCCACGCGCACCCTCACTCGCCACGCGCTCCCTCACTCGCCCCACGCGCCCTCACTCGCCACGCGCTCCCTCACTCGCCCCACGCGCACCCTCACTCGCCACGCGCTCCCTCACTCGCCACGCGCACCCTCACTCGCCACGCGCACCCTCACTCGCCACGCGCACCCTCACTCGCCACGCGCACCCTCACTCGCCACGCGCACCCTCACTCGCCACGCGCACCCTCACTCGCCACGCGCACCCTCACTCGCCACGCGCACCCTCACTCGCCACGCGCACCCTCACTCGCCACGCGCACCCTCACTCGCCACGCGCACCCTCACTCGCCACGCGCACCCTCACTCGCCACGCGCACCCTCACTCGCCACGCGCTCCCTCACTCGCCACGCGCTCCCTCACTCGCCAGGCGCTCCCTCACTCGCCACGCGCTCCCTCACTCGCCCCACGCGCCCTCACTCGCCACGCGCTCCCTCACTCGCCACGCGCGCCCTCACTCGCCACGCGCTCCCTCACTCGCCCCACGCGCCCCTCACTCGCCACGCGCTCCCTCACTCGCCCCACGCGCACCCTCACTCGCCACGCGCTCCCTCACTCGCCACGCGCTCCCTCACTCGCCACGCGCTCCCTCACTCGCCACGCGCTCCCTCACTCGCCACGCGCTCCCTCACTCGCCACGCGCACCCTCACTCGCCACGCGCTCCCTCACTCGCCACGCGCTCCCTCACTCGCCACGCGCTCCCTCACTCGCCACGCGCTCCCTCACTCGCCACGCGCTCCCTCACTCGCCCCACGCGCCCTCACTCGCCACGCGCTCCCTCACTCGCCCCACGCGCCCTCACTCGCCACGCGCTCCCTCACTCGCCCCACGCGCACCCTCACTCGCCACGCGCTCCCTCACTCGCCACGCGCTCCCTCACTCGCCACGCGCTCCCTCACTCGCCACGCGCTCCCTCACTCGCCACGTGCTCCCTCACTCGCCACGAGCTCCCTCACTCGCCACGCGCACCCTCACTCGCCACGCGCACCCTCACTCGCCACGCGCACCCTCACTCGCCACGCGCTCCCTCACTCGCCACGCGCTCCCTCACTCGCCACGCGCTCCCTCACTCGCCACGCGCTCCCTCACTCGCCACGCGCTCCCTCACTCGCCACGCGCTCCCTCACTCGCCACGCGCTCCCTCACTCGCCCCACGCGCCCTCACTCGCCACGCGCTCCCTCACTCGCCCCACGCGCCCTCACTCGCCACGCGCTCCCTCACTCGCCCCACGCGCACCCTCACTCGCCACGCGCACCCTCACTCGCCACGCGCTCCCTCACTCGCCACGCGCTCCCTCACTCGCCACGCGCTCCCTCACTCGCCACGCGCTCCCTCACTCGCCACGCGCTCCCTCACTCGCCACGCGCTCCCTCACTCGCCACGCGCTCCCTCACTCGCCCCACGCGCCCTCACTCGCCACGCGCTCCCTCACTCGCCCCACGCGCCCTCACTCGCCACGCGCTCCCTCACTCGCCCCACGCGCACCCTCACTCGCCACGCGCACCCTCACTCGCCACGCGCTCCCTCACTCGCCACGCGCTCCCTCACTCGCCACGCGCTCCCTCACTCGCCACGCGCTCCCTCACTCGCCACGCGCTCCCTCACTCGCCACGCGCTCCCTCACTCGCCACGCGCTCCCTCACTCGCCCCACGCGCCCTCACTCGCCACGCGCTCCCTCACTCGCCCCACGCGCACCCTCACTCGCCACGCGCTCCCTCACTCGCCACGCGCTCCCTCACTCGCCACGCGCTCCCTCACTCGCCACGCGCACCCTCACTCGCCACGCGCTCCCTCACTCGCCACGCGCTCCCTCACTCGCCACGCGCTCCCTCACTCGCCACGCGCTCCCTCACTCGCCACGCGCTCCCTCACTCGCCCCACGCGCCCTCACTCGCCACGCGCTCCCTCACTCGCCCCACGCGCCCTCACTCGCCACGCGCTCCCTCACTCGCCCCACGCGCACCCTCACTCGCCACGCGCTCCCTCACTCGCCACGCGCTCCCTCACTCGCCACGCGCTCCCTCACTCGCCACGCGCTCCCTCACTCGCCACGAGCTCCCTCACTCGCCACGCGCTCCCTCACTCGCCACGCGCACCCTCACTCGCCACGCGCACCCTCACTCGCCACGCGCACCCTCACTCGCCACGCGCTCCCTCACTCGCCACGCGCTCCCTCACTCGCCACGCGCTCCCTCACTCGCCACGCGCTCCCTCACTCGCCACGCGCTCCCTCACTCGCCACGCGCTCCCTCACTCGCCACGCGCTCCCTCACTCGCCACGCGCTCCCTCACTCGCCCCACGCGCCCTCACTCGCCACGCGCTCCCTCACTCGCCCCACGCGCCCTCACTCGCCACGCGCTCCCTCACTCGCCCCACGCGCACCCTCACTCGCCACGCGCACCCTCACTCGCCACGCGCTCCCTCACTCGCCACGCGCTCCCTCACTCGCCACGCGCTCCCTCACTCGCCACGCGCTCCCTCACTCGCCACGCGCTCCCTCACTCGCCACGCGCTCCCTCACTCGCCACGCGCTCCCTCACTCGCCCCACGCGCCCTCACTCGCCACGCGCTCCCTCACTCGCCCCACGCGCACCCTCACTCGCCACGCGCTCCCTCACTCGCCACGCGCTCCCTCACTCGCCACGCGCTCCCTCACTCGCCACGCGCTCCCTCACTCGCCACGCGCTCCCTCACTCGCCACGCGCTCCCTCACTCGCCACGCGCTCCCTCACTCGCCACGCGCTCCCTCCTCACTCGCCACGCGCTCCCTCACTCGCCCCACGCGCCCTCACTCGCCACGCGCTCCCTCACTCGCCCCACGCGCCCTCACTCGCCACGCGCTCCCTCACTCGCCCCACGCGCACCCTCACTCGCCACGCGCTCCCTCACTCGCCACGCGCTCTCTCACTCGCCACGCGCTCCCTCACTCGCCACGCGCTCCCTCACTCGCCACGCGCTCCCTCACTCGCCACGCGCTCCCTCACTCGCCACGCGCTCCCTCACTCGCCACGCGCTCCCTCACTCGCCACGCGCTCCCTCACTCGCCCCACGCGCCCTCACTCGCCACGCGCTCCCTCACTCGCCCCACGCGCCCTCACTCGCCACGCGCTCCCTCACTCGCCCCACGCGCACCCTCACTCGCCACGCGCTCCCTCACTCGCCACGCGCTCCCTCACTCGCCACGCGCTCCCTCACTCGCCACGCGCTCCCTCACTCGCCCCACGCGCCCTCACTCGCCACGCGCTCCCTCACTCGCCCCACGCGCACCCTCACTCGCCACGCGCTCCCTCACTCGCCACGCGCTCCCTCACTCGCCACGCGCTCCCTCACTCGCCACGCGCTCCCTCACTCGCCACGCGCTCCCTCACTCGCCACGCGCTCCCTCACTCGCCACGCGCTCCCTCACTCGCCACGCGCTCCCTCACTCGCCACGCGCTCCCTCACTCGCCACGCGCTCCCTCACTCGCCACGCGCTCCCTCACTCGCCACGCGCTCCCTCACTCGCCACGCACTCCCTCACTCGCCACGCGCTCCCTCACTCGCCACGCGCTCCCTCACTCGCCACGCGCTCCCTCACTCGCCCCACGCGCCCTCACTCGCCACGCGCTCCCTCACTCGCCCCACGCGCCCTCACTCGCCACGCGCTCCCTCACTCGCCCCACGCGCACCCTCACTCGCCACGCGCTCCCTCACTCGCCACGCGCTCCCTCACTCGCCACGCGCTCCCTCACTCGCCACGCGCTCCCTCACTCGCCACGCGCTCCCTCACTCGCCACGCGCTCCCTCACTCGCCACGCGCTCCCTCACTCGCCACGCGCTCCCTCACTCGCCCCACGCGCCCTCACTCGCCACGCGCTCCCTCACTCGCCCCACGCGCCCTCACTCGCCGCGCGCTCCCTCACTCGCCCCACGCGCACCCTCACTCGTCACGCGCTCCCTCACTCGCCACGCGCTCCCTCACTCGCCACGCGCTCCCTCACTCGCCACGCGCTCCCTCACTCGCCACGCGCTCCCTCACTCGCCACGCGCTCCCTCACTCGCCCCACGCGCCCTCACTCGCCACGCGCTCCCTCACTCGCCCCACGCGCCCTCACTCGCCACGCGCTCCCTCACTCGCCCCACGCGCCCTCACTCGCCTCGCGCTCCCTCACTCGCCCCACGCGCCCTCACTCGCCACGCGCTCCCTCACTCGCCCCACGCGCCCTCACTCGCCACGCGCTCCCTCACTCGCCCCACGCGCCCTCCCCCACCCACCGCGCACTCGCCTTGTTTGACTATGCGCGCGCTCAGCTCCAATTCCTCTCACGTCGCTTGTCCGCTGTCGCTGTTCCCTCTGCCACACACACACCACCCCCCCCCTTCCACCGCTACCCTCCCATCCACCCTCGCCTCCCTCCCTCTCTCCCTCCCTCCCTTGTTCGCTCCCTCCCTCCCTCCCCCCGCCCCTGCCTGCCCCACGGCTCTCCCCGTCCCCCATGCGCGCAGGGGCGGCGATAGAGCCGAACATAATCTTTTTCGTCTTCCTGCCCGCGCTTCTCTTTGAGAGCGCCTTCGCCTTCGAGCTGCACCAGATCAAGGTGCGCCCCCCATGCTGCACCAGATCAAGGTGCGCCCTCCCTGCTCTGCTGCCTTGCTCGCTCTGCTGCCTCTGCGCCATGTGCTCGTCGTCCTTTTCTCCTTCCCCGCCCTCCGGATTCTCCCCTGCTATTCCCGCGCGTCCGCCCGTTCCCCCCTGGCAGAGGTGCATGGTGCAGATCTTCCTGCTGGCAGTGCCGGGTGTCGTCATCACCACCGGCTTCCTCGGTGTCATCTGCAAGGTTCGCTTGCCCCCTCCATGTCATCTGCAAGGTACGCTTGCCCCCTCCATGTCATCTGCAAGGTACGCTTGCCCCCTCCATGTCATGTGCAAGGTTCGCTTGCCGTTTCTAAATCATCTGCACTTGTCACCCACAACACCACATTGCTCTCTCCCATCACACCACATTTCGCCTTCTCCCTCTCTCTCTCGTCCATTCCACTCTTCCCCACACAAAATGTCCTTCTTGTTCCTCTCAACCCCCCCCGCCCATCATCTTCCCCACCTCCTGCATGGCACGACACGGCCCTCCCAGTGTGTGCTACCGTACGGGTGGTCATGGAGCACGGCCATGCTGCTGGGCGGGCTGCTCAGCACCACCACCTTGCTCTCCCTTCTCTTCCCTCTCCCCCCTTTACCTTTCCCTGCATGCACGATGCGTGGCAGTGCGTGCTGCCGTACGGGTGGTCGTGGAGCACGGCCATGCTGCTGGGCAGTGTGTTGAGCACCACGGATCCCGTCGCCGTGGTGGCGCTGCTCAAGGAGCTGGGTGCTTCCAAGAAGCTGCGCACCATCATTGACGGCGAGGCGCTCATGAATGATGGGTGAGGGGTGATAAGGGGTGAAGGGCGAGGGGCCAAGGGCGCATGATGGGGTGACGAGGCCTGGTTTTGGCATGGCATGGCATGGCATGGCATGGCATACGGATGGGGGGCATGGGTGGTAGCAATACAGAGATGGCACAGGGCGTGGCATGGCATGGCGTGAGGAAACATCATCCCTGCTTTCAACACTGTCTGCCTGTCCCTCTCCCTCCTCTTGCCCTCTGCCCCCATCGTTCGTCCCCTGCTTCTCTCCCCCTTTCCCTTGCGTGGCAGGGCGGCGATCGCCATATTCCAGCTCTTCCTGCAGCTCGTGCTGGGCTACTCCTTCTCCCCGGGGGACATCGTTGCCTTCATGTGCCGCGTCTTCTTCGGCGGGTGCGTGCCCCCCGCCCCGCTCCCCATGCCCTCCGCCCCCAATATGCTCTCATCCATCCCATGTGCTTGTTACCCATCAGCAATACCCATCAGATCTCCTGTTGTAACTCTGCCCCTCTCTTCCTCACTCTTCTCCCTCACTCTTTACTCTCACTATCACCCCTCAATCTTTCCCTTCAAAGCTCAATCTTCCCCCTCACTATCCTCAATCACTCTCCTCTCTCTCCCCAACACTCTCACCCCTCGCTCCACCCCTCTCACCCCTCCGGGCGGCAGCATAGCGCTGGGGATGGCGTTTGGGGTGGTGAGTCTGCTGTGGCTGCGCACCGTGTTCAACGACTACATCATCGAAATCACCATCACCATCTGCGGCTCCTACATGGCCTTCTTTGTCGTGCGTGGCCCCACTCATCTCATTCGCGCTCACTCACTCAAATCAATCACTCACTCACTCACTTTGCCATCCCCCCACTCCCTCACTCACCATGCCACATCATGCCACACCATGCCACACCATGCCACACCCACACCATGCCACACCATGCCACACGATGCCACACGATGCCACACCATGCCACACCATGCCACACGATGCCACACGATGCCACACCATGCCACACGATGCCACACGATGCCACACCATGCCACACCATGCCACACCATGCCACACCATGCCGCACTATGTCAAGCTTGCCTGTCCGCGCGCCACATCCTTCCAGCCAGGCTACTCCTTCTCGCCTTCCGCCAATTGCTCTCCCCACTCCCCGCCCTCCGCTCCCCTCCTGCGTGTGCATCTCGCCCCCGCGCCCCTGCATGCAGGCGAACGCAGTGACCAACATGTCTGGAGTCATGTCCGATATGACCCTCGGCATGTCAGTGCCCTCCCGCCCACCTCACTCATCCTTTTGCCTCGTTATTCGCTGCTTTGATTAATCATCCCAGCTTTGTCACAGCTTTTCTCACAAGTTCTGACAACTGTGTGCATGTGGTGTGGCATGTGGCATGTGCATGGCAGCATGTTTGCCATATTCGCCAAGACGGCATTCACAGGGGAGAATGAGAAGAACATGCACAGCTTCTGGTGAGGCGCTGCTCTTGTCTCTTCCTGCTCATGCTGCATTTCATCACCACAGCTGGTCGTTGACACTCACATGCATGTGTGTGCTGTGCCGTGTGCCATGTGTCCTGTGTGTGTGTGCGTGTGTGCGTGTGTGTGTGTGTGTGTGCGTGTGTGTGTGTGTGTGTGTGTGCGTGTGTGTGTGTGTGTGTGTGTGTGTGCGTGTGTGGTGTGGTGCCATGCAGGGAGATGCTGGCATACATCGCCAACACGCTCATCTTCGTGCTCAGGTACCCTCGCACGCCGCACCCACCCATGCACGTTGCTATCCACACCTGCCTTCCCCCTCAAGCCCAGTACGTCTTGGCTTTCGTGTTTGAACCTCTTGTGTCGCCCGTTTCCTTGTCCGCCTATGTGGACATCCATCCCCATGCCTCCCCCCTCCCCCTCCCCCCCCTGTGTCCCCTGTGTGTGCAGTGGAGTGGTGATAGCAGAGAGCGTGCTGCACAACGCCAGCCACATCCAAGGTGAGGTGCCGCCCGCCTCTCACTCCCGCCCCGCCCTGCTCACCCCTCACACAATGTGCTCACATCACACATCATTTGAAGAACGCGCCTCCTCCTCCTTGCTCACCTCCTCTTCTCCCTCTCCCTCCGTATCCCCATCCTCTTCTGCCCCCCCACCAGGCGTTGACTGGGGCTACATGCTGGCGCTGTTTGTGTTCGTGCAGCTGTCGCGGGTGGTGGTGGTGGGAGTGTTGTACCCCGGGCTGGCCAGCAGCGGCTACGGGCTCACGTGGAAGGAGGCCATCATCCTCGTCTGGTCCGGCCTGCGCGGCGGCATTGCACTCACACTCGCCCTCGTCGTCAGCGTGAGTGCTCTCCGCTCTCTGCTCTCCGCTCTCCGCTCTCTGCTCTCTGCTCTCCGCCCGTGTGTGCAGAGGACAGCCCAATACTGGAGGCGGTGATATTGGAGAGCGAGGAGGAGGAGACGGAGGCGAGGAAGTTCCTCGAGGACGTGCGCCTCAACGTGCCCGAGGTCAGCCGTGCTCGCAGTGCCGTACTTCATCATGTTGTGCTGTGCTGTGCTGTGCTGTGCGGTGCTGTGCGGTGCTGTGCTGTGCTGTGCGGTGCTGTGCTGTGCTGTGCTGTGCGGTGCTGTGCTGTGCTGTGCTGTGCTGTGCTGTGCTGTGCTGTGCTGTGCTGTGCTGTGCTGTGCTGTGCTGTGCTGTGCTGTGCTGTGCTGTGCGGTGCTGTGCGGTGCTGTGCTGTGCGGTGCTGTGCTGTGTGCCCACATACCTCCACCTGCGCCACTCACCTGTGTTCTCGCAACATGCCGTGCGCTGTGTGCCCATGCATGGTGGTGGCAGGTGCTGACAATCATCAAGACGAAGCAGGTGACGCAGGCGATACTGGCGGAGCTGTACGGGTATGTGGAGAATCTCGACCACTCAGGGCTGCTGGACCAGAAGGAGGTCACCCTGCTGCACAACGCCGTCACGGTCAGCCCTCTCCTCGCCGTCGCGTCCCCCATGTGCCGTCGCACACAGTGCCATGCCTTACCATACTATATCATACCATGCCATGCCATGCCACAGCATCTACGCCCACACTTTCACATGCCTCCTCCTGTTCTCACAGTGCGGGCCCCTTGTCCCCCTCTCTACCGGTTCTCCTGCAGGCGGATATGAAGAAGCTGCAGCGCAGCCCGCCGTTTGTGGCGATGCTGCCGGCGGGGGAGGTGCTGGCGAGGCAGCCGCTCATCGGAGCGCTACCGGCGGACATCCGCCTGGCGCTGCTGCAGCCGCTCAAAGAGGCCACCAAACTCTCCGGTGCCTCGCTCTTCCACGAAGGGCAGCCCGCCCAGGGCGTCTGGCTCATCGCCTCCGGTACTGCCAAGGTCAGTCAGCACGGTCACATTTGCTCCCATGTGATTTTGGCCGATGCCCAGCACCAGACCGATGCGTAGCCATTGGACATATCACTCGCACCTAGCTGATGCTTTGGGTCAAGCCAAGCGCACAAGAATATTCACGATGTTATGCTGCACCTGTGGCTTGTGTCAAGCCCATATCTGTGCACGGACACATGGGTGAGTGCCTTTCCACTCCACACCAGTGGTAGACCCTGTTCTCACTGCGAGCCACCCTCTGCCCTTGCTTGCCCGTGCATGCGCACATGTGCCCTGCAGTGGACGTCCAAGGCGGCGGAGGCGGAGGCAGAGGCGCACGGGCAGCACCTGATCCCGCCGCTGTTTGCACACGGCAGCTCCGTGGGGCTGTACGAGACGCTGAGCGGGTGCGCGCACCAGTACTCGGTGACGGCTGACAGCGTGCTGCACTGCTTCTTCATCGATAGACAGCGCATCATGGCCGCCAAGAGCAGCAGCGACGCCATTGAAGACTTTCTCTGGAAGGTGCGTTGGGATGAGAGGGGAGCAAGGGAGGTTTGAGGGCTGTGCGGGTGGGTGGGGGCGAGGGGTTGTAGGTAGTGTGGAGACAGGTAGGATGTTAGGGAGATGTGGGAGGTGGTCGAGTAGACGTTAGGCAGGATTGGACGACTGGGTCCTTGTCAGCACCACCACGTGTCACGCCAGTAAGACTGCACCATACTTCCCTGCCGGCTCACATGCCCTGCCCTGTCAACTCCCACTGCCCTGTCAACCCCCACCATGCACTCTGGTTGGCAGGAGAGTTGTTTGGAGGTGGCGCGGGTGGTGCGCCCCATGGAGTTCGGGCTGCTGTCCATGCACGACCTGCGCGTGCTCTTCTCCCAGTCCGCGCGCCTCCTCACCCTCGCCCCACACTCCCCCGTGCACCTCGCGCCCTCTGAGGTCGCGCTGCTGCTGCTGGGCGCCGTGCGCCTGCCGGGGGACGGCAGCGAGGGGCACGAGGGCGATGAGGGCAACGAGGGGGAGGACGGCGAGCAGCAGGGCGAGGAGGAGGAGGGGGGTGGTGGGGCCGGCAGCCCTCAAGGTGCAGCTGTAGCCGCAGGCAGCCCGCAAATTGCTCCGTCCTCTTCTCCGCAACTTGGCGCGTCACTCTCTCCGCCCGCACCCACGGCAGCGGGCGGGGTGGCAGCGGAGGGTGTAGCCCCACCCAGCAGCGGCGAGGAGGGCAGCATGAACGGCAGCACGAGCGCCAGCAGCTTTGACGACCGCACGTCCGCGTCCATGGCCCTCTCTGCCACCACCTCTGATGGGGCAGATGGCAGGGGCGACACAGCGTGGGGGGGTAAGGACGCGGAGGGGCAGGCGGTGCGCAAGGTGAGGAGCGAGGGCGTGGAGCAGGGCGGGGCAGGGGGGGGGAGCAGCAGCAGGGGCAGCAGTGGGGGGTTCCTGCGCGCGCGCAGTGAGGCGCTGCGCAGCGGGCTGCGGAGCCTGTCCAAGGGCCGGCAGCGGCTGGTGCGCGCCATTAGCTCCAAGGACAGAGATGGGGACAAGGCGGGCACGTGGCAGAGCGGCAGAGAGGGCACGGGCAGCCGAGAGGAGATGGAGCTGGGGGTGATCGTGGAGGACGGGCGCATCGTGAGCATCCATGCCCCCGCTTACCTCACCCCGCAGCCCAGCCCAGGGGGGTTGGGCGAGGCGTCGTATGTGACGGTGACGACGTGCAAGCTGATGGTGGTTGACATGCCTCACACACAGCACTCCCTGCAAGGCACCCCCACACGGTATGCTGCCCCTGTGCATCCCTCTCCACTCCCCCCCCCTGACTGTTCTTATTGTTAATCACTTACTCGTGCATTGTTTGAACCGCCAACAAATGACCATGCGTGCATGCCCGCTTCCCCTCTGTTCCCCCACTGTCTTCCCCCCCACTGTCTTCAACCCCACTGTCTTCCCCCCCACTGTCTTCCCCCCCACCAGCGCCTTCCACGGGCACCGCAGTGCACCCGCGCACGACGCGGCGACGCTGCTGCGGTGGCAGATGGAGGGGGGCGCGGAAGGCGACGACGATGATGACGGGTTCATCACGGCTCGCCTCAGGGGGCGGGCGGGCGCTGATGCGCGTGCTCATGGCGCTGGGGGAGCTGCAGGGGGGCACCCGGGGAGCAGGCTGGGCGGGGTGCTGGGCAGCATGATGGGGGGTGGAGGGGCTGTGGCGGCTGGCGAGGTTGGTGACGTGGAGGACAGTGAAATGACGATGCCACGTGGCAGTGAGCTGGCTGCCATGCTGGCGGACCGTGTGGCGGTGGATCGGCAGCTGATGGAGCGAGCCATGCAGCTCAGTGTGTTCGGCAACAAGGTCAGTCACCTCCTTTCCATCCTTCCTTCCAAGCCGACATTCTTTAGGCTTTCTCTCAACTGCTACTTTCCCTCCCTCTACCAGGCATATCCATGGATGAGCAACCTATTTCCTCCCTTCCTCATTGTCGCTCGCTTGAATGACCATCGATCCTCTCCATTGCTCATCACCGCGCTCCCCATTCCCCATTACCCGTCCTGCCGTCGCCCACCGGCCCCACTGCAGATGCAGACGAGGCCCAGGCGGCCGTCAGAGGCCCATGCAGGACACCCTCCAGGCACCACTGCTGCTGCCACCGCCCGCACACCCGTGCGCAGCAGCAGCACAGAGGCAGCAACACCATCAGCAGCAGCAGCAGCAGCAGCAGCAGCAGCAGCAGCAAGTGCCACCCCACCCTCCACATCATCACGACAGCCGCAGGAGTCATCGCTCGCAGCGCTCGTGGCCTCACTCTCTGCTGCAGCTGCTGCTGCCCCCTCCAACCCCTCCGCCCCTCCATCCCGCCCCATACCCGCCTCTGCCCCCTCCTCTGCCTCCGCCATCCCCCTTGACGCTTCCCCCCTCCTGCCCCAAAACCACAGCGCCTCTGCCATTCCCCTTGAGGGAGGGCAAGCAGAGGAGGCGCACCCACTTGTGGAGCCGGGGAGTGGGGTGGACTGGGGGAGAAGCGAGTGAGGGCGGACGGCAGGGAGGGGTAACAACTGGGGCCCTCCTGTGGGCAATTATTTACTGGCTGGACCTGTGGTGCTGGCAGACCCCACACTGCCAAACCGAAGAGAATGCATTACAGTAATCAGGGAGAGCCAAGTGCATGTGGCTATTTACATGTGCTGAAAAGTCTGTGCTCTGGGCACTGTGGCCACGATCACCACGCCATCTCCTGGAGCCACAATTAGGAAAAACTAGATTTAAGAATGTCATGTGTTTGATATGATTTGTGTTTCTGCTGCACGTGTTCCACTCCTGCAATAGTAATGTCGCCACAAATGTACAAACCTTGCAGTACATGTGCAATAAATGCTAACAAATGTTGCTGCTACTGGTGTGACTATATCTGTGACAAGCTGCCTGAAAAATGTCTACCGGTATAAGGCATGAGAAGCAGATTGATCCACACAGCCTCCTCCCAAGCAACACTGGATGGCCGTCAAGCAGCTGTCCTCCTCTAGGTGCTCTTGGGTCCTACTCAGCGTTGAGTGACAACGCGTGGTGTGGTGTGGCGTAAGCAATGACATTCTTAATACTGAGTGCCATCCAAAGTGCCATGCACCACTGTGTGAGCAATGAGCCGAGGCAGCACAAGCAAGAGGAGCAGCAGGCAGGCAACCGACAGAGATGCAGCAGGGGGCAAGCGTGCAGAGCTTTATTCAAGCGAGAATAAACACGGGGTAACGCTGAGGTGCGGAGGAGCGAGGGAAGGCAGCAGTCAGTTGAAGCGGTCGGAGGGCGGCGAGGGGCCGTTGAGGGCGATGGCGTGGCCGTCAGAGGCGGCGTCGAGGAACTGGCGGATGTAGCGGTGCGTCCACTCCCTGGGGGCGCCGAACTCGTCCACCAGATGCGCCACAAACGCATTCACCGCCTCCTCCTGGGTGCCATACACATATGGCATGCATGACGCACGGCACACGCATGGCATATGGCAGACATGGCACATGCATAGAGCAAGGAAGAATCAGTGGCTTAGGAGTGAGTCGAGCATGCTGGGATGGTGGAGGTGGGGTGTGAAGCACACAGGTCGTCGCACTTGCAGTACGGACGAGTGCATGTGCGAGTGAGCCTGTGACTGCCTGCTCTCGTGTTCCACAGACCAGCAGGCACTGCCATACAAAGCATGGAATGGACTCACCTGCTGCGAGTAGGGCTTGGAGATGTCAACTCACCTGCTGCGAGTAGGGCTTGGAAATGTCAACTCACTTGCTGCGAGTAGGGCTTGGAAATGTCAACGAACTGGGCCCTCACAGCGCGCACGCGGCTGCGGATGAAGGCCTCCATCTCGCTGGTCAGCCCGCTGCCCGCCCCCGTGGCCTCCGCCAGCCCCGCCACCACCTGCTTCAGCTCCTGCACCTCCTTCACCGCCGCGTTGCGCTCCTCTATCAGCTGCGCTGCTAACATCTCCAACACCCGCTTGTCCTCCTCCCTCTGCGCCTCAAACGCCGACCTCAGCTCCGACGCCTGGTGCACTCACCGCCCACACACCATGCAAACGCACGCACGCACAGGACATGTGGAGCGTGAACACGATTAGCAGGGCAGGACGCAGTGAGAGATGATGGCGGGAGGTGAAGGAGAATGCAGAGGTGACAGAGGGGGTTGGGTGGGGTGGGGCAGCAGAGCAGCGCACCTGTTTGATGGCGGAGTCGCGCTCGTCAGCCAGCTGCAGGGCAACGGTCTCGAGGGCGAGGTTCTGCTCCTGCAGGCGCTGCACCTCGGACGCCAGCATGGCCTCTATCGCCCTCATGCGCTCCGTCATCGCGTTCACCGCTGTCTTCAGTGCCGTCACCTGCCCCATGCATGCCCCATGCATGCCCCATGCATTGCCCATGCATGCATGACCACCATCAACACCATGTCAATGGGGGACCACCATGCCAAGCCATGCCAACGCGTGGGTATCGGTGAGACAGAAGCTCCTGGGGGATGCACATTGCATGGAAACACATGCCACATGGCCTGCATGCACAGTGCAGACACGCACATGCCTCCCATGTCTCCCCAGCATGCCCCACACAGCACGCACCTCAGCGATGGCGGAGTCCCTCTCATCCGCCAGCTGCAGCGCCACGGCCTCCAGCGCCTCCTTCTCCGCCACCACGCGCGCCATCTCCTGCCCCGTGCGCCGCATCTCCCCCGCCGCCGCCACCGCCACGTCCCTCTCCGCCTCCAGCGCCCTCAGCCGCCCCTGCACGCCCGCCCCCATGCCCTGCCCGCCCCACGCGCAGCCCCAGGGGAGAGGGAGGGCGCACGGGTGGAGAAGAGAAGGGGAAAAAGCAGGGGTTAAAAGGGGCAGTGGGGAAAACGGCTGGGAAGAGAACAGTAGAGAATTAAGGATGGGATTTGTCCCTAGTGGGGGGAGGTACCTTGCGGTTCACTTCACCTGCACCCCTTGCATTCATGCAGCAAGCAGCACAGCAGCACAGCAGCATGGGACTCTGACCTCGGGAATGCGCGAGGCGGGGGCGTCTGGGTCAGCATCGGCGTCAGCGGTGGTGGTGGTGGTGGGGAAGAGCGTCTGGATGGCCGTGAGGGGCGTGGGCGCCACTGCGATCTTCCTCTTGGTGAAATACTGCCTGCCGTGGCCCGCCGGGTGGAGGGAGGGAGGGCAGCATGGGACGAGGAGGGGAGGGGCACATGCAGATGCAAGAGAGATATGTGAAAGGGAAGTGAAGAACGGGAGATTTCGTGATGGTGATTGTGAGAGTGGAGCGTGTGTGTGTGTGTGCAGAGTAGGTAGGTCAGGTGCAGAATGAGTGAGAGCGAGCTACTCCCCAGCAGCAGCGGGTGTGGCCCACCGCCATACTGCTGCTCCCAGCCCAGATGCTTGACGCTTGTGCCCAGCCTGCACCCCTCCACCCGCCCCACAGTGCTGCCCTCCAGTCGCCCCCTGCCAGTCGGCTTGAGCATCCAAACAGCTGCCCGTGGCTGCCTCGCTGCACCCCCTTGCATTCCATGCCAGGGCCCGTTACACACCGAGAGGGATGGGAAGGGGAAGGGGAAGGGGGAGGGGAACGGGCAGGGAGGGGCACCTGGCGACGAGGGCGCAGTAGACGACGCCGATGGTCTGCATGAACTCGGGCGCCAGTGGCACCGAGTCCAGCGACCCCAGCAGCGACGTCGCGAACACCACCCCCAGCACCGCCAGCCCTGCCGATTGCTCGTCAAGCACGGAGGGCAGAGAAGGAGGGAGGGGGGAGGTGGAGGGGGAATGTAGGGTGGGATTGGATGAGTGCAGGAGGCGATGGTGGGCGATAGAAAAGGGACGTGCGGGCGCGATTGAGGGCAGGGAAGAGCGGGAAGTGCAATGCACCCTCGGGTGGTTTATTGGCGAGCCATTCTGGCGCTCTTGCGAGGATCTCACCTGAGCACATGCAGCACGCGCACCTGAGGCGGCAGCAGCAGCGCCGACGGTCTCGACGGGCGCGTCCTCCACTGCGCGCACGGCGCCCCGCACCACCTCCCCCACCGACGCGCGCTCCCGCCGCCTGCCCGCGCCACCACGGCCCCGCGGACGAGGGGAGTCGGCAGCGCTGGTGTCGCGCGGAGGGGGCGGTTGGGGAGGTTGCTCCGACTCGCGCTGCGGTTGACACAGAGTGGGGCGGAAGAAGGTGGGAGTAGCGGGGCGGCAGAGGGGGGGTGGAGGGAGGCACGGTAGAGGTCAGGGGAGGGGGGGCAGGCGGTTGAGCAGAGGAGCTGTGGTTCCCGGGAACGGCGGTGCGATTGACTGCGACCGACGAGGCACGGCGGCACGCACGCCTCTGGGCGCCGGCCCGCGCGGCATTAGGGTTGCGCGCCGTGGGACACGCGATCGCTCCGCTGCACATTGGCAGAAGAGAGATGGTCGAGGAGCACGCCACGACAGTACGCCATCGCGTCAGCCTAATGTGATCGGCAATGCGGCACAGACGCGTCAATCGCAGATGGGCGAACGAGGCGGAAAATGCATAATTCCGCGGCTGCAGCGGGCGCGGAGGCAGGGCGCAGGGCGCAGGGCGCACCTTGAGGCTGAGAACTTCACTCTCCTTGGGCGGCAGACTCGACTCGTCCTGCTCTGCGACCTTCTGGTCGCCAGGCGACGATGACGACGACGCGGCGACGCATATCCGCAGTCTCAGGCGGTGTTGGCGGAGGAGGGAGGGACGGGGAGCGGGAATGCGAGTGTTAGAGGCTGTGGGGGAGGGGGAAGGAGAGGCGAGGAACAGCGGTTTGCGCGCTAAGAGCGCCATGTGGGGGGAACTACTGGGGCGGAACGCGCAGTGCTGAGAACGCAGAGCCCCGCGGAAGACGCGCAACGGTCAGCCTCGTGCCGCGCTGCGAGGGGTGGGCGGCAGAAGCATGGAGGAGCATGCGGCGCGCAGTGATGCGCGAGAGTCGTGGGCCGTGGCTGTCGAGGTGGCAGGGCGCGCGAGGCAAGCGGGCTGGGGAATGCGGATGGAGGGAGAGGGCGGGGAGGAGAGATCCACCAATCCACGCAAACAGTGCCCAGCTGCATCCAGAAAAGCACACACCGAAACTCTCGAGGTTTTGTTGCAAGTGTTTTCGCCACCAGCAGTTACCTGTCGCAAGCCAAATTCGCCAGTCCACTTGGAATGCTCCTCATCCTCACTTTTTGCTGCCTCCAACCCAGTGGAGATCTCATCGGTACTGCGTGCTTCGTTATGACGTTCACCATTTATCGACGTACACGGATGAATAGATACACATCCGTCGAATTTCGTCCCGACAGACAAGTCACAAAAGGCAGGCACCACCTGAAGCCCACCACCACGTGTGTGCAGGCTTGCTGTTGTCGCTCTGCTCGCAGTCGCATCACCACGGCTCAACCTCTCCGCCACACCCCGTCCAGCCAATCTCCTCGCGCGCATCAGCTCTCCGCAAGCTCGAGCGTGTGGGGCGCGGTGTAGGTCGCGGTTGTTTAGGGCGCGGTGTAGCGCGCGGTGCAGGGTGCGGTGGGGGCGCGGAGGGGGGAGCGCGGCGGCATGGCGGAGCCGGACGTGGGGCCGCTGGTGGCGAGTTTCATCGACTTCACCGGCAGCGACGACGCCGTCGCGCTGCAGATGCTGCAGGTGGGCGGGGCACCTGCGCGCCACGTGCCGCGCCACGTGCTGCCTCACGCGCCATGCCCCTGGCACTGTGCATGTGCTCGTGTGTCTTAGTTTCGTTGCCGCCGCCTCGCGCGTGCCTGCGCGCTCCTCGAGTCCCGTCGCTCTCCGTGACCGCGCGCCATGCACCGCTCTCAACCGCTGCTTGCGTCTGTGCGACTGCATGCGTGCAGGCGACGAACTGGCAGCTGGAGGAGGCGGTGCAGCTGTTCTTCGGGGGGGGCGCGGAGGCCGCAGGCGCGCAGCAGACTGACGCGCATGGGGGCAGCGCCGTGGGGCCTGCGGGAGGTGCAGGCAACGGGTAGGGGGAGGGTGCTGGGAGTGCAGCGGGTACTGCTTTTCTGCCCACCCGAGGTTTCCCGATCCTTTTCCCGCCACCCCTGGCCCTCCTATCCCCTGTTCACCTTTTCTTTTCCGCTTCCTCCGCCTTCAACGTTCTGGCATCCCCCCACCACTGCATCCCCCCACCACCACTACATCCCCCCACCACTACATCCCCCCACCACTACATCCCCCCACCACTACATCCCCCCACCCGTGCATCCCCCCACCACTACATACCCGTGCATCCCCCCACCCGTGCATCCCCCCACCCGTGCATCCCCCCACCCGTGCATCCCCCCGCCACTACATCCCCCCACCCGTGCATCCCCCCACCCGTGCATCCCCCAACCCGTGCATCCCCCCACCCGTGCATCCCCCCACCCGTGCATCCCCCCACCCGTGCATCCGCCAGGTCACGTGACGCCACTCCTCCGCCTCGCTCCTCGTCCCCGCCACCCCCGCCAGCAGCAGCAGCAGCAGCAGTAGCAGCAGGAGGAGGGGGTATGGGCGGCAGCATGGGGGGCGGGGAGGAGGTGGTGCGGGCGCCGCTGCCAGTGAGGCGGGAGGCGCTATATGGGGATGCATACGCGCTCAACCGCCCCTCTGCTGCGTGCGTATGCTGCTCTCTCCCTGCTCGCGTTTCCCGTCAGCTGCACTGAGCTGTGCGGTGCTGTCTGTGCAGTGGTGCACAGCACACTTCCATGCTGGGCCATCACGCCTTGCTCCCTGCGCTGCCTCCTCGTTGCCGTCGTCCTTTCTCACCCATCACATCCTGCACTCCCCCCACCCTCTCCCCCTCCCCCTCCCTCCTTCCCCTTCCATTTCCCCCCCTCGCCCCTCGCCGCTGGCCCTTCGCCCCCCAGCGCTGCCGGGAGGACGCCTGGAGGGCCCAGTGCGCCGGTGGTGGTGGATGGGTTTCGGGACTTCGGCGGCGAGGCGGGCACGAGGGCGAGAGCGCGGGGAGAGGGGCAGCAGGGCGGAGAAGGGGGAGCGGCGCGGCAGGCATCGCTGGCATCGTTGTTTGAGCCGCCCTATGACATCCTGTTTGCTGGCTCCTTCGACCAGGTGGGAGGGAGATGTGTCCAGCAACACTTGCCCAGCCCCATCCGCCAACATGCCTGCCCCATCCGCCAACATGCCTGCCCCATCCGCCAACATGCCTGCCCCATCCGCCAACATGCCTGCCCCATCCGCCAACATGCCTGCCCCATCCGCCAACATGCCTGCCCCATCCGCCAACATGCCTGCCCCCATGCGCCCACACGTCCCACAGCACCGTGTTCAACGCTGTGCCCACTCCTGTTGCACCTACCCTTTGGTGTGCATGGGTTCATGCGTGGATGCCTGAATGCATGTGTGCATGAGTGCATGGGAGTGTGCAGGCGAAGCAGCGGGCGGGCGCGGAGGGCAAGTGGCTGCTGGTGAACGTGCAGTCGACGGGGGAGTTCGCGTCGCACATGCTGAACCGGGACGTGTGGGCCGTGCCAGCTGTCAAGGAGACCATCTCCACCTACTTCCTCCTCTGGCAGGTGCTCCCTCTCCCCCTCCCCCTCCTCCCACTCCTCCTCTTTCTCCCCCTCCCCCTCCTCCTCCCGTGCCTCCTTGTGACGTGGTGCATTTCCCATGTGTTTATGGCAGGTGGTTCTGCCAGGTCACTGTGTGAGGCACAGATGATTCGCCCATCCCCTGTCACGGCACTCACACGCACCACCTGCCTCACCTCGCCCGTCCCACCACACCACCCATACCGTGCCCACCCCACCCGTCACTGACTGGCCTCCGCTGTCTGTGATTCCCATGCTCCGTCCGCCCTCTCCTTGCGTGTTGCGTGTGGGTGGGGGAGGCGAGGCAGGTGGACGCGGCAGCAGCGGAGGGGGCGAAGGTGTGCGGGTACTACGGGGTGGAGGCGCTGCCCGTGGTGATGGTGCTGCACCCCTCCACGGGCCAGCGCAAGCGCTGCTGGCAGGGCGCGCTCTCTGCCGACCAGCTGCTTGAGGTGGGGGGGGAGAATGGGGGAAGGGCAAACGGGGAATGGGGAGGGGAGAGGAGGTGAGAGTAGATTGTGCGTTTTGCTTCACAGCCACGAGTATGCCCTTCTGCTGTTCATATCCTCTCCTCGCATTCCCCCTCACCTGCCTCGTGGATTCCGTCCTGCCTGCGTGTGTGCCTGCCTGCCTTGGTGCGTGCGTGCGTGTGTGGGTGTGCGGTGCACGGCTGGCAGGACCTGATGCCGTTCATCGACCGTGGCCCTGTGGGGGGCGCACCCGGGGCGGGGGGGGAGGTACGGCCGCCCAAAAAGCAGCGCGACGTGGCGACGGGAGGGGAGGGGGAGGCAGAGGGCGCGGGGGCAGTGGGGAGCGGCGAGGAGGACGAGCAGGAGCAGCTGCGCCTGGCACTGGCCGCCTCCCTGGAGGGGCACACAGAGGAGGTGGGGGGGGATACAGAGGGACGGAGGGGCGAGGCAGATGGGAGGGAGCAGGGTGGGGCCGCAGGGGCAGGCAGGGATGACACCTTGCATGCGGCACAAGGGGAGCAGGAGCAGCAGGGGGCGTTGGCAGGAGGGGCAGCAGAGGAGGAGGTTGAGTTACCAGAGGAGCCAGCAGTGGGCACTCCTGCCAGCTGTCGCATCGCCATTCGCTGCCCGGATGGCAGTCGACTGCAGCGTCGGTTCCTCTCCTCGCACTCTCTCCAGGTGCTGCTCGCATTGTTTAACACAGCCTGCCTGCCACCCTTCCCATTCCACTCCCCTGTCCCACATCACCTTCCTGCCATGCCTGTCCCCTTGCTCTCCCACTCACTCCCTTGTTCTCCCTCGCCTCACTCCCTCTCCACCCCCCCCAGCTGCTGAGGGCATGGTGTCGGCAGCAGGTGCCAGAGGCAGCAGCGGGGAGGCCCTTCCGTCTGTCACAGGCGCTGCCCGGCTCCTCGCCTCTCGACCTCTCTTCGCCCACCACCATCGCCGATGCCGGCCTTGCCAACTCCCTGCTTGCCCTCGCCTGGGACTGACCGCACCGCATCGCACCACAGCGCACCGCATCAGGGTCTCCAAGCTTGTTGCGCCATGAGTCATGAGGCGGTGCGTGCAATGCAGGGCCTGTTGGTTGCGCCGGCAAATTCTCTGGGCAGGTTCCCTTGCCTCGGCCATGCCGGCGCTTGTAGTGTAAGAGAAGCACCACTTAGAGCTTGGACACCTGGTGTGCTTGGGTGGTTCCTGATAAAACAGCTATTCCTTGCGTAGGTTTGTTTTGTATCTGAAAGGCTTGAATGAATAGCAGATTCTTCCATTTATGCCATTCTTTTCTTGCAAACTGGTCTCCTGGTTGCCCACCCCATTAATCAAAGTAATCTGTGCAACTAGGACCTTTGATTGATTGCTGATAAAGCGTATGGGTACATGCAGACATCGCTTCCAAGCGGGGATATCTGAAAACAGCTTCAGTTCATCGCCCCGTAACCGAAGGACACACAGGGCAGTGAGGCGGACCTGATCACGCTCTCCACCGTGCCGCGTCGCACCTCGCGCGCCCCCATGTCACCACTATGCCCGCCGCGCTCCCATTCGCTCTCCCACCTCCCCAGCGCGCCCCTGTCCTCACTCCCTCACATGAGGCGCTGCCGCCCCGTGCCTCCCATGCGGCGCCTCTTCTCCGCCAGCCCACGCTGCCTGCTCGCCCCGCGCCCCTCTTGCGCACGCCTTCTTCCCCCTCCATTCCGCGCGTGTCCGCCACCTCCGCAGCCCACGCAAGCGCGGGATGCGCAATTGGACCCGTAGAGTCAAGTCGCCGATTGAACCGTTTAGGGGCGCTCTCACCGCGCCGCGTGCCGAGCCGCGCGTCACTCTCCCCCTTCCCCGCATCCTCCGCCGCCGGTCTCAGCAGCGCCAGCAGCGCGTGGCTTTCAGGCTCCTCGAGCGCGCGTCTACTTCCCCCGCGCACCTCAACTCCACCACTCGCGCCCTCCCCCTTCACCCGCCATTCCGCGCTCCTCCTTCCGCGCCTGGCCGTTGCGCCCAACGGCCGCGGCGGAGGACGCAGGGGCAATGGGCGCGTGGTGTGCGGGAGGGTGAAGCGGGGCGGCGACGGCAGCGCAGACGGGCCGGCGGCTGGCGCGGGGGCTGGCAGTTCTGGCGGCGCTGGTGGCGCTGACAGTGGCGGAGGCGGTGGCGGGGGCAGTGACGGCGGAAACAGTACTGGGGGGGGCGGAAATAATGGCGGGAGCAGCGGTGGTGGCGGAAGGTCAGGCAGGTCGAGTGGCAGCGGCGGCAGCAAGCCGTCCCCGCCACCAGAAAGCCTCAACGGAAGCGCCTCCCCTGCCCTTCCGCCCGCCCCGCCCCCTCCGCGCCAATCCTCCCCCAGCCCCTCTTCCCGCTCCCCAAGGGCCCCTGCTGCGTCTGACCCGCCCCGCCGTGGAGCCGCAGCATCCCCCGCCCCCCAATCCCCCGCGGCTGCAGCGCCCCCCACCCCCACCCCCACCCCCACCCCGCCCCTGGCGGCCACGAGGCGGCGGCGGCGGCGTGAGCGGGGCGTGGGGTGGCGGCGGGTGGCGTGGGCGCTGGCAGCGGCGCTGCTGTGGGGCGGGGGGGCGTACGCGCAGCAGAGGGCGCGGCAGTACGTGCAGGCGCGCGTGCTGCCCGTGGTGGAGGCGGCAGCGAGCGCACAGGCAGGCAGGCAGGTGGCAGTGGGGCGCGTGCAGCAGCTGCTGCCGTGGGCTGTGAGCGTGGGACCTGTCTCCATCGGCCCTGCTGCCTCTGAGTTCTCGTGCGCCCATGCAGATGCCGTGCAAGTGCGGGTGAGTGCTGCACAGCCACTGTGCTGCACACAGCATGTGCATGTGGCCACAACTGGCACCTGCACACACACATTCGTAGAGCCGCCCCTCCCCTGGCCCTTCAATTCAGCCGCTGTTTTCCATCAATCTCATCCCCCCCCCACCGTCGCTTCTCCCTTGTCTACCCTGCTCGCCCCCGCTGCCCGTGTGTGGGTGCAGCTGCACCCGGTGGCGTCGGTGGCGCAGGGGCGGGTGGTGGTGGGGGCGCAGGTGCAGCGCGCCACAGTGCTGGTGGCACAGCAGCCCGACTGGACGTGGCTCGGCATCCCCGCAGACATGGACGCCCCCGCCTCCCCCTCCTCCTCCATCCCGCCTCTCTCCGCCCGAGCCTCCCTGCAACGCCAGGCTCGGGACGCAGCCTCGGTGGCAGCAGCGGAGGAGAGGGACAGGCTGGCACTGCAAGGGGCACAGATTGAGTACCGAGGGGAGGGGGGCGCGCAGGGACTGGGCGGAAGGGGAGGGGAAGGCGAGATGGGTGCAAAAAGGGAAGGGAGAGTAGTTGGGGGCGCGGAGGTGGGTGGGGGTAAGGCCAGGGTCGAGTGGGAGTGGGTGGAGGAGCAGCAGCGGGCGGCGGAGAGGGCAGTGAGCAATGTGCTGCGAGCAGCAGTGGAGGCGCTGGGGTGGCATGGGTACGACCAGCACCCCCTCTCCGCCACTGCGCCAGCCCCCAGCGCCCCGCCCTCAACACCCTCTGCACCCCCCTCGCCCCCTCTCTCTGCCCAGGAGCACCTGCTCTCCCTCTCTGCATCGGCGGCCCTGGCCCACCTCTCCTCCCTGCCGCCCCACCTCATGCCCCCCGCCCGCCCGCCCCCTGCCCCCGCCCCAATGCCCACACAGCACAGTGGGGGGAGTGGGAGCGAAAGGGGTGGGGGCCGGGGATGGAGCGGTGATGGCACGGTGGGAGGGGAGAGGATGGCTCGTGAGAGTGGCAAGGGGCGGGAAGGTCACATGGCGGGCGGTGAGGGGCGGTCGGGGCACTTGGAGAGTGGGGGTGTTAGTGTGGGAGCGAATGGCGATGGTCTTTCGAGGAGGGGAGGAGACGGTAGCATGAGCACGGAAGGGACAGTAGCAGCAGTTGGTGGGAGAGAGAGTGACGCACGAGGGGTTGAAGTGAGAGGGAGTGAGGCTAGGATGGGTGAAGAAAGTGGCGTGGGTGGAGTGAAGTGGGGCGAGGGCGGCAGGGGTGCAGGCGAGGGGGAGGGCAGCGAGTCGGCGCTGAGAGATGCTCTGGCGCTCGCCATCCGCCAGCGCATGGCCGCCCCGGTGGGGATAGGGCTCGTGGAGGGGCAGGTGGGGGGGCAGGCGGGGGGTCAGGTGGGGGGCCGGGGCGAGAGAATAGGAGTGGATGTGGAGCAAGAGGCGGAGGTGAGAGGGAGCGGAACAAGAGAGGTGGTGGAGGCACAAGGGGCGTGGGGCGGAGCAGCAAGGAGGGAGGAGGCTACAGACAGGGGGCGTGCCTCATTGACTGCTGGTGCTGCCACTGGCCATGCCACGGACCTTCCTCTTGCTGCTGGCCTTCCTTCCCCCGTGCAGCAGCAGCAGGCGCAGGCACAGCAGCACAGCGGGCAGGCACTGTCACAAGTGAGCGCGGCGGATTCACAGCAGTGGCAGCAGGAGCAGAGGCAGCGGCAGGCAGAGGTAGCAGCAGTACAGGTGGAGCGAGCACCTCAGAGTGCGGCTGAGGTAAGCCCCCCTGATCGTTGCCATCCCTCACACCGCCCATCCCGTATTCAACCCATTCCCTATCCTTCCCCAATTCCTCCTTTCTCCCTTCCGTCCCCTTCCCTCCCTACAGCCCCTGCCATCGCCCCCCCGCATGTCAAAGGCGGGGTTGCCGGCGCCTGTGTGTGCGCGTGAGTGGGCACTGCGCAAGCTGCACCCAGCATATGGGCGAGGGGGGGCAGAGGCGCAGGGGGGAAGAGGGGATGGCAACGAGGTGGGGGAGAAGGGCACGCATGGCAGTGCGGGCAGGGGAGCTGGTGAAGCTGGGGAGGGGGTTACAGCACCACAAACAGCAGCAGTGGGGGGTGAAGAGGGGGCAGGTGGAGGGAGGCAGGGCGAGGAGGCAGCAGGGGTAGGTGCGGGGCGGTTGGTGCCGTGCATGGAGGGAGTGAGGGTGCATGGCGGCACCCTCATGCTCCTCGCTTACGGTGACCAGGAGCCACGGTGAGATGACATGTGGTTAGGGGCGACTCGTGAGGGGTCATGGGGAGATGTGCTCCTCTATCATGCTGCTGCTCACTCATGTGCATGCGTCCCATCCCAGTGTGTGACCCTCGTGTGTGTACCACGTGCGTGGATGCCCTTTTCTGTGCACAACACACACACCTACACGCATGCATGTGTATTGACTGGCACACCATGCCTCGTGTGTGTGTGCGTGCATGCATGGCAGGGTGGTGGAGCACATCGATGCGCATGTGACCTTCCCCGCGCTGCCCCACTCCTACAAGCGCATCAAGGTCGATGCCCACGGCTCCCTCCGCCCCCCCCGCAACTTCCCCCCTGCCCCCTCGCCCACCACCCCTTCCCCCGCCACCACCGCTTCTTCTTCCTCCTCCTCCTCGTCCCCCCAGCCCCCCGGCAGCAGCGGCAAGGGAAAGCGCTTCTCCACGCCTTTCCACATGATGCCTGGCGGTGCAGCGGCAGGGCGGAAGGAGGCGGAGGGGGGAGCAGAGGGGGGAGCAGAGGGGGGAGCAGAGGGGGGAGCAGGCGAGGGGGGAGGCGGGTTGCTGCGAGTGGCAGTGGATGTGGACGAGGACAAGCACGAGTGGGCTGTCACTGTCACCGCACACAACCTCTTTGCACCTGTGCGTGCTCATATGCGTGGCTGCATGTTCTCACCTGCATCTGCTGTGACCAGCAGCCAGTCATGTTCCAAGTGCCATGTTTTCATGTGCCAGGCGTGTTATGCATGCCGGGCTTGCCATGCACGCATGTATGCAACAGGTGCATATGCTCCATGTGCAATGCTTGCCATAGTCCTTGTGTAATTGCTGCTGTCACTTCCCTACGTCTCATGTCTCTCGTGTCACAGTATTACCCTTCCCCTTCCCCTTCCCCTTCCCTTCCCCTTCCCCTTCCCCATCGGCATGCCCTACGTACGCGGTCATGGCAGGTGATGGAGCGGCTGCTGGAGATCCCATTGGATTGGTACGGCGGGAGGGCCGACGGGCAGGTCAGTGCTTCTGCTCTCTCCATTGCTTCACAGCACCTCAACATCCATGAACTGGCCTCTCTGCTCTATGCTGCTCACTGCTGGTCGCTGCTGCTCCCTTCTGCTCCCTGCTGCTTCGCTGCTCTTGCTGCTAGAGAGACCTACCTCGCTCTTCCGCAGCACACCCCAGCACCGTTCAATCACTTCTCTCGCATGATGCACTGCCGACCCCACCGTGCTCATCAGCTCACTCCATGTCGTGCTGCCATACGTGTCCGCGTGCGCATGCATGTGCGCACCTGCGGTGTGTGTTTGGGGGCCGGGGGGTTGTGATGGAGAGAGAGCAGGTGCAGCTGTGGATGGGGGCGGGGGATTCATTCCCCAACTTCAAGGGCAGGGTGGACATCAGAGACCTCGCCTTCCAAATCTGGGAGTCCCCCTGTGCGTTCACTGTAAGGCCCCCGTTCACTGTATGGCCACTCACACTCACACCATCCACACACTCACGCCACCCACACACTCACACCACCCACACACTCACACCATCCGTACACTCACACCATCCGTACACTCACACCATCCGTACACTCACACCATCCGTACACTCACACCATCCGCACACTCGCACCATCCACACACTTGCACCATCACACTCGCACCGTCCTTCACATGATTGTTTCTCACGTCCTCTCCCTGCCGTTTCGCCCCCTCTCCGCCTGTGCATCGACATGCTCCCCCGGGCGAGCAGGGAGTGAGCGGGGCGGTGGTGCTGGAGGGGCAGCGGCTGTTCCTGCACGGGGTGGAGGGGCGGTACGGCCACGTGCCACTGAGGGCGTCGGGGGACATGGACCTCAACCAGGGCGCCGGAGGACAGTACCGCATCACAGCGCAGGTTTAAACCGTGGAGGCGAATCTGCTCATGAAGACACTCAACGCCAAGCCCCTGCCATACCCTGTATGTGATGCATCTGTGTGTGTGTGTGTGTGTGTGTGTGTGTGTGTGTGTGTGTGTGTGTGTGTGTACATGCGCGCACCATCTGCTCTCGTTCTCACACTAGCACCGCCAACCCGCTCTCTCCAATCACCTTCTGCCAGCTGGCAGGGAGCCTGCAAGGACTGCTCTTCTGCCGCGGGCCTCTCGATGCGCCGATCTTTGAAGGCACTGCTGAGCTGGCAGCAGAGCCTGCTGACGTGGATGCAGCCGTTGCTGCGGTGGCCGGGTCGGATGCAGCGGTGGCGGTGGAGGCGTGGCGGGGGGAGGGGGCAGTGGGGGCGTATGACCGCGTGCCCGTGACTGCCGCCACGGCCAACTTTACCTTCAACACCGATGACTGTGTCAGTGATGTGATGCCAGGGGCATGGGTGCAATGTGCATGCTGCATTTGATGCATGGATGGGTGTTGAGTCATAAGGGAGACCATCGTGGCAAGCAACACCCTTTCATTCATCACGACTACCATGTGCGCATCCCATCTTTTCCACCCTTCCCCTTCTCCCTTCCCCTTTCCCTTCCCATGCCCCTCCTTCCCCTTTCTTCCCCCCCACACCAGGTGGCGGAGCTGCATGGGGTGCGGGCGGTGCCGGTGGGAGGGGGGGAGATCCGAGGGGCGGGCACGCTGTGGGTGTGTCCTCAGGTGAGTGGGGTGTGTCCGCAGCTGCGTGCGAATGTGGGTGATTAACTGTCTTGCCTGCATCCTGTCTTGCCGTCTGTACCAAGCACTGTCCACCACCAACACCTGCTTGCCCGTTCCCACCCCCCCCTTCATTTTTCCCTTCGCTCGCCCCCCCATGGTTTGCACCAGGCAGAGGCGGATCCATCGGCAGTGAGTGTGGACTGCTGGGCGGCGGGGGTGTCGCTGGACCGCCTGCTCGCCTTCTACCTGCCGCCCGCCACCGCTGCTCCGCCCTCGCTGCTCGGCCTCGCCTCAGGCGAAGCCGCCTTCAGAGGCTCCCTGCTCTCCCCGTATGCCTCCCTCTGCCTCCCTCTGCCGTACTTTGCCGTATTCTCTCTTGGGCTGGTATGTGCTCTTTCGCTCGTTTTCTTCTCTTTGTTTTCCCACTGTCAATGCACACCCGTTCTCGTCCGTCTCCCTTTGTCTAACCCATTCTCTTTCTTCCCTCAACCCCACCCTACCACGGCAGCACGGTGGAGGCGGCATGGAAGGCACCGCAGGCGAGGGGCCCGTTGGAGGGGATGAGGGGGTCGGTGGCGCTCACGAGGGACACAGCCCACGCCGCCACCCACGCGCACGCCCTCGACCTCCTCCTCTCCGCCTCCGTCTCCGCCCCTCCCCCCTGCCCCACCCCCCCGCGCCCTCCCCGCGGTGCCGCTCGCCCGTGGCCGGTGCTGTCGAGGGAGCTGCCCCCGTTGCCCCCGCGCCCGCGTGTGGAGCGCGTGGAGGCAGAGGCGCGCCTGAGGGCCTTCGACGCCCTTGCGCTGCTGCCCGCCGCCCCCGTGCCCGTGCCGCCCCCCCAGCCCTCCCTGCGGCACCTGCGGCTGTCGGGGCGCTTCAAGGTGTCAGCGCGCGTGCCGTGGGGCAGTGAGGTGCACCCGGGGGCGGTGGACGAGGCAGGGGGGGGTGGAGGCGCGAGGCAGGAGGCAGAGGCGGGGCTGGCAGGGCTGGAGGGGAGTGTGCTCATTCAGGGGCTGAAGCTGAACCAGCTGCTGCTGGGGGCGAACCTGTCAGGCGGCGTGGCTGTGAGTCCCCACGGCTTCAACCTGCACACCGTGGGCCGTGGCGATGAGCAGCTCATGCTGCAGCTCTCAGCCAATGGCGTGCTGCCACCTGTCCCTACAATCCCCCATGCCTCGTCGTCCTACATGCCCCAGGTGCAGGCCTCCGAGGCGGCCTTCCCGCTCTTCGATGTGGGAGCAGCGGCACCAGCAGCAGGCAGCGCGGGCGGCGGTTTAGGGGGCGTAGCGGGGGGAGCGGTGCGGGTGCAGCGGGGGCAGATGAGTGTGGAGGGGCATGTGCGCGTGGGGGCAACAGCAGCACTGGAGGTGAGGGCGCTGCCGCTGGACGAGTTGGAGCTGGCGTCGCTGCGCGGGCTCGTGGAGCGCGCTGCCGTGCGCCTCAACTTCGCCAAGCGCCGCGGCCACGGCTCCCTCGCAGTGCGGCGCCCGCGCTTCAGCGGCATGCTCTGTGACGCCCTGCATGCTGCCTTCCGCTGGACCGGCGACGTGGTGAGGACCGAAAGCAGAGTGCTGTGCTCTACTGTCCTTTGCGCTTTCTGCATGACGTGTGCATCTGTCTCATCATGCACGTGTGTGTGCATGTGTGATGGCAGGTGACTCTGGAGCGGTCGGTGCTGGAGCAGGCAAACAGCCGGTACGAGGTACAGGGGGAGTATGTGCTGCCGGGGATGAGGGAGTGGGACAGGGAGCGCGATAGGGACAGAACCACCTCCTCCCATTCAGCCTCCACGCCCACCCCCGACGCTGCTGCCACTGCGGCTGCCGCGGCCTCGGAGCGTGGCGTGGACGTGGAGTGGGGTGCAGGCGGGCGGCAGAGGGCGATGCCGGGGCAGCTGCCGCTGGCGCTTACGCCTCGACGTGCCCCACGCTGACGTGAGCGAGATGCTGCCGGGGCTGCGCATTCTGTCGCGCAGCCACGACCCGGCGGTGCTGCTGCGCTCCAAGGAGCTCTTCCTGCACGGCATCGAGGAGGTTGGCTTCGCCTCCCACTCCCTGCAGCACCAGCTTGAGGTGCGTCCTCTCTGCCCGCCACCCTCCCCCCCACACTCAACCGGCTAGCGCCTGTCTGCTTCAGAGCAGAGATGATTTTTGCTTGTCATGTCGCTGTGCATTCTTCTCGTTCCACTCCTTTCCCTTCACCCACTGCCACCCATCCGTTAATCTTTACTTTGTTCCCTCCCGCGCTGCGGCCCTGTTGGTGGGAGCAGTATGTGCGGGAGAAGAGGGAGCGCGAGTGGGAGCCAGCGGGCACGGACGTGGGTGGGGGGGTGGCAGCGGAGGCGCTGCCAGGGCTGGTGGACCTGCGGGGGCGCTGGCACGGGGTGCTGGAGGCGAGTGGGGGTGGCAACGGCGACACGTCAGCATCGTTTGACGTGCACGGCAGCGACTGGGAGGCGGGCAGGTACCGGCTGCAGCAGCTGCAGGCGCGGGGGCGGTACAGCAACACGGGGGGCCTGCAGGTGGAGCGGCTGCTGCTGCAGAAGGATGACGGCGCCACGGTGCATGCGGACGGCACTGTCTTTGGCCCCGCGCCCAGCCTGCACTTTGCGCTGCTCAACTTCCCCGCCCACCTCGTCCCCACCTTCCTGCAAGCCCTCCACGCCGCGGCGCCCTCCCAGTCCTCCGCTGCCGCTGCTGCCTCTGGTGCGCCGTTCCCCCCCTCGCCCCCCGTGGGCGTGCAGCAGGCGGCAGTGAGGGGCGTGGTGCACGTGGAGGGCGACCTGTCGGGCTCCTTCGCCCAGCCACAGTGCGACGTGCAGGTGGGTGCACGCACTCCAATGCTGCGCCTACCAGTACTCCATTTCTCACTCTGCATGTTCTTGCTTCACTTGCTGCCTTGTTCGTCTATCCCTCTTGAGTGGTCGCTCCTCGTCTCACTCCCCTGCTGCCTCTCCCCCTCCCCCCCCGCGCCCCCTTGCGGTGGCAGCTGCGGCTGCTGGACGGGGAGATAGCGGGCGTGGCGCTGGGCAGGGCGGAGGTGGCGGCGTCGCTGACGAGGGCGTCGCGGCTGCTGTTCCACGCGGTGCTGGAGCCGGCAGTGGACGCGGGCCAGGTGCGCATCAAGGGCAACGTGCCGCTGCCGCCGCTACAGGGGGGGCACGCAGGGCAGACGGCGCAGGCAGGGCAGGAGGTGCAGGGCGCAGGCAGGGACATGGGCGGTGGAGGGAGGATGGCAGCTTCTGGTGGAGGCAGAGTGCAGGAGAAGCGGAGGGGCAAGGCAGGCGAGAAGAAGCAGAAGGCGGGTGTGGAGGCGACACAGAAGAAGGAAGGTGGCGGTGCAGCGCGGGAGAGCAGCCGGCTGTGGCATGACTGGGACTGGCTGGACAAGGAGGGAGGGCTGTGGAGCGAGGGCACGGGGAGTGGCGATGGTGGCGAAGCCGAGGAGAGGAGGAAGAGCAGGAGGAAGAGGAGGAGGAGGAGGGGGATGGGGAGGGGGAGGGTGCGCAGAAGGGGCCGGAGCTGCTGCGCAGTCTGGTGGAGCTGGAGGGGGCGTTTGAGGGCGAGGAGCAGGCGGAGCAGATGCAGGTGGAGGCCAGTGTGCAGGACGCCGGCATGATGCTGCTCACCGCGCTCTCACCCTCCTTCCGCTGGATCCACGGCCACGCCGCCATCTCTGCTCAGGTGGGTGCCGCCATCTCTGCTCAGGTGGGCCAGTCTTATAGTGACTTCAGCATTCTTGCTTTGACTTGTCATTACTCTGCACCCACACGTCTCTCCCCATGCCTCTCTCTCCCGCGCCTCTCTCCCACGGCGCTGTGCGGGCGGCAGGTGAGTGGCACGCTGGCGCGGCCAGAGGTGGCGGCGGAGGCGGTGTTCAGCCGTGTGACGGCGTCGTCCCCCGTGCTGCCGCGCCCGCTCACGGCCGGGGGGGGGCGCATCCGCATCGCGGCGCAGCAGCTGCTGGTGGACGGGCTGGAGGGGCGCATGGGGCGCCGTGGCACTCTGCGCGTCGAGGGCTCTCTGCCTCTCGGCCTGCCCGCACACGAGGGGGGGGTTGAGGGGGCGGAAGGGGAAGGGGAGGAGACGCTTGGTGGGTTGAGGAGGGGAAGCAAGGGGAAGAGGGGGAGTGGGAGGGAAGAGGGGGAGCATGCACAGGACAGCAAGGCTGGGGAGGGAATCAGCATCACAGCGGAGGGTCTTGAAGTGCGAGCACGCAATGTGTTCAGGTGGGGCCTCACCCTTTGTCACTGGATTTTTGCTTGACTGATTCTGTGTCAGCTTTTGCAGTTTGGGGTTTGCAACCGTGGCTGTGGCTGTCAGCACCAGATCTCACACCTGGGTGACAGTGCCCCATTGTGTTGTGTGTGCGTGTGTGGTCGCAGTGGTCTGGTGGACGCGGGCGTGAGTGTGATGGGCAGCCTGGCCGCCCCTGAGGTGACAGGCTCCATCCGGCTGTCACGTGGCATCGCGTACCTGTCGCAGGAGAAGGACCGGGCCGACACCCCCCCCTCCCCCTCCGTGCCCTCCTCGCTGCTGCCCTCCCACCGCCGCAAGACACCTGCACTCTCTGCTGCTCCCTCCAGTGCCCCTCCTGCCAAGTCAGCAGCACCTGATTGGCTGCCGGCGATGTCCTCCACGGCCGCGTCTTCAGCCATGAAGCTGCCGGCGTCAGCTCCACAGCAAGGTGCGCCCTTCCCACTCCCTCCACTTCCGCCACCCCCTGCACCAATTTTTACCGGCTGGGTCTGCGTGTGGCTCTCAGTCCTCTTTTGGCCCACACGCCTCAGTTCACTTCATCCTCCTGCCACTTGCTTCACTGCCGTATTCACTCTTTGTCGTCAATAACTTCTCCCAGTCATGTGTGTGCCCTCCTCCTCCTCTCCCCGTACACTGTGTTCTTCACGACCCTCCCCACATGTCGTCCCGGCATCACGGCCATCAGAGAGCACGTCATCGCCGCTATCTGCCACCACTGCCACCGCCGCCTCTGCTGCCACTACAGCAGTGCCGCCTGTGCCGCTGCCAGCAACCCCTGACCTCGCGTCTGCGCCATCGGCACCAGCAGCGCTGGTGCGGCTGCGGGGGCTGCAGGTGGCGCTGGGGCCGGAGCTGCGCGTGGTGTACCCGCTCATCCTCAACCTCGCCACGCGCGGCGACCTGCACCTCAATGGCTTTGCCGACCCGCGCCTCGTGCGCCCCTCCGGCACGCTCTTCTTCGAGAACGGCGAAGTCAACCTCGTTGCCACCCAGGTCCCATCCCACCCCCCTCTCCTGCCACCCAGGTCCCACCCCCCTCTCCTGTTACCCATGTCCCACTCCCCTCTCCTGTTACCCATGTCCCACTCCCCTCTCCTGTTACCCATGTCCCACTCCCCTCTCCTGTTACCCATGTCCCACTCCCCTCTCCTGTTACCCATGTCCCACTCCCCTCTCCTGTTACCCATGTCCCACTCCCCTCTCCTGTTACCCATGTCCCACTCCCCTCTCCTGTTACCCATGTCCCACTCCCCTCTCCTGTTACCCATGTCCCACTCCCCTCTCCTGTTACCCATGTCCCACCCCCCTCTCCTGCCTCCCATGTCCCACCCCCCTCTCCTGTTACCCATGTCCCACCCCCCTCTCCTGCCTCCCATGTCCCACCCCCCTCTCCTGCCACCCATGTCCCACTCCCTTCTCCTGCCTCCCCGCCATCCTCCCTTCTCATGCCCCTTCGCCATCCTCCCTTCTGATGCCTCACCATGCTCTCTTGTCACACCGGACCTGCCCACACCCCCGTGCCGCGTGTGTCATGTGCAGCTGCGGCTGAACCGCGACCACCCCAACTGTGCGCGCTTTGAGGCGGCGCTGGGCATGGATCCGCTGCTGGACCTGAAGCTGGTGGGGGCGGACTGGCAGATGCGCATCCAGGGCCCGGCCAACCGCTGGCAGGACCACGTGGTGCTCACCACGCTGCCGCGCGGCGGCGAGGAGGACGTGCTGTCGCCCGCGGAGGCGGCGCGGCTGTTTGAGAGCCAGCTGGCGGAGTCGCTGCTGGAGAAGGACGGGCAGCTGGCGCTCAAGAAGCTCGCGGCCGCCACCGTGGAGACCCTCATGCCCAAGATCGAGAGCCGCGGGCAGTTCGGGCAGGCGCGGTGGCGCCTGGTGAGCGCGCCGCAGATCCCGAACCTGCTCTCGCTGGACCCCACCTCCGACCCCTTCCAGTCCCTCGCCAACCTCTCCTTCGGCGCCGAGGTGGAAATCCAAATCGGCAACAACCTTCAGGTGCTCAACGGGCGGGCTGGGATACATGGATCTTACATCCATGTGAAATGCATCGTTCTGGCATAGTGACATGCATCGTTGTTATGACATGCATCACTGTGACACGCATCATTGGGACAAGCATCAAAGGGACCTGCATCATTGTGCCATTGTGAATGCATCACAGACATGCGTCACTGCGACACACATCATAGTGACATGCATCGTTGCTGCACACATCACAGTGACATGCATCATCAAGTCAACATTTTTGTGACATAGTGTGACATGCACCATTGGCACATATCCCACCTTCAGGTGCATCGTTCTGACATGCATCATCGACATATGCACCATTGAAGACATGCATCATACCAACGCTCACTACCTCTGTCATGTGTTATGTATCGCTCATACATAAACATGCACACTGCCATGCTAAGCACTTTTTGCCTGCAGGCACACCATGGCATAGATTGCCACTGCACCTAATCAGATGCACACCATCGGCATGTGTGCATCTGAGCAAGCCTCTGCCTGAAACATGACCTTTTCTGTGGTTTCTCCAGGCATCTGTGGTGCGGCAGCTACGCGAGAGTGAGATGGCAACCCAGTGGAAACTGCTATACCAACTCAACTCCCGCTTGCGCCTTCTCTTCTCATCCTTGTCCTCCGTTGAGAAACGACTTTTGTTTGAATACTCTGCATCCTCACAGAATTGACTGTACCTAGCTGGCAGCTGGTCAAGAGCAGGGTACACAGTGGTCTTGACCTTTCGCATTCCATTGTTCCCAAAAAACAAGGGTAAAATACCATTTCTACCCCTTTTTGGCCGCTTGTTGGGGCTTGCTCTGATCCATACTGTAAAAGCTTTGCCACCCTGATAAATCAGCAGTGGTAGAGACCTTTTACCCTGATGACTAGCTGAGCCATTTTGAGGTAATATTGGTCAGTCTATTTAACCATAATCGACAGAAGACACTATACCAAACCTGCCACCAACAGCCTACAAGTTTTTTACACCACAATTTTCAAGCTAACTGCTATTTTAGCCTACCAGTCAGGGTAGGCCTGACTGGCACCCCGGGGCGCGAGGTGGCACCCTCCCCTGCACACTCAACCCTCCCCTGCATGCACCAACCTCCTCCACACGCTGCTCGGAAGTGCAGGAACGAGCATACCACCCCCACAATGCGGAAGGATCCGCACATGTGCAGGAAGTGCACTTGGCGCTCTTCATTCGCGAGCGCCGATGACCGATGATGCTCGCAACCCTCCCACGCCTTTGCTGGCTTGGCAATAGGACCAGACAAGCGCAGCCACGAGACCCGGCAAAAGAGAAACGCTCGAAACGAGCGCTCCCACCCCCAAAACGCGGAAGGATCTGCACATGTGCAGGAAGTGCAGCGGGCGCTCTTCATTCGCGAGCGCCGATGACCGATGATGCTGGCAACCATCCCACGCCCTTGCTGGCTTGGCAATAGGACCTGAGAAGCGCAGCCACGAGACCCGGCGGAAGAGAAACGCTCGAAACGAGCGATACCAACCCCAAAACGCGGAAGGATCCGCACAGGTGCAGGAAGTCCAGCGGGCGCTCTTCATTCGCTAGCGCCGATGGCCGATGATGCTCGCAACCCTCTCACACCCTTGCTGGCTTGGTAATAGGACCAGACAAGCGCAGCCACGTGACCCGGCAGAAGAGAAACGCTCGAAACGAGCGCTCCCAACCCCAAAACGCGGAAGGATCCGCACATGTGCAGGAAGTGCAGCGGGCGCTCTTCATTCGCGAGCGCCGATGACCGATGATGCTTGCAACCCTCCCATGCCCTTGCAGGCTTGGTAATAGGACCAGACAAGCGCAGCCACGAGACCCGGCGGAAGAGAAACGCTCGAAACGAGCGCTCCCAACCCCAAAACGCGGAAGGATCCGCACATGTGCAGGTGTCAGATTTATATGACATAGCTGCTGTAGGCTGTAGTGGGGTAGCACATATGGGGTACAGTTTTCTAGGGTTTGCACTTGTACCCACCTTCCCCTTTGTCAATTCCATTCCTCGACATTTCACATGGTATAGAGCGGGTTCCCTCGTGGGAACGCTTCCTAGGGCCCACCAATCGATTTTTTTTTTTCCTGCCCGGAGCGCGCTTCGCTCCTGCCCGAGTCGCGCCCCGCGTGCCCTCCCTACCGTCGCGCCCTCTCTAGGCCCCTTACGGCCCCTTCGCGTCGCCCTTAGCGGCTCCTCTGACGGCCCTTCCAGCCGCCCTTACGGCCTCTCGTGCCGCCCTTACGGCCCCTCGGGCCGCCCTTCCGGCCCCTCGCGCCGCCCTTACGGCCCCCTACGGCCCGTAGCCGCCCTTCGCGGCCCCTCGAGCCGCCCTTCACGGCCCGTCGCCGCCCTCCGCGGCCACCCGCGGCCCTTTCACGGCCGGTCGCCGCCCTCCGCGGCCCCTCGCGCCGCCCTTCACGGCCCGTCGCCGCCCTCCGCGGCCACTCGCGGCCCCCCCCCTTCACGGCCGGTCGCCGCCCTCCGCGGCCCCTCATGCTGCCCTTCACGGCCCGTCCGCCGCCCTTCGCGGCCTCTCTTGGCCCGCCGTCGCCGCCTCTACAGCAGCAGCAGCTGCAGTCGCTACAGCGGCCGCGGTCGCCGTCCCAGCAGCAGCAGCATCCGCCGCCCCAGCAGCAGCACCCGCCGCCACTGCAACCGCGGCCGCCGCCGTCCCTGCAGGAGTGGCCGCCGCCGCCCCTGCAGCAGCAACTGCCGCCGCCGCTGCAGCAACGGCCGCCGCCGTCCTGTGAGCAGCAGCCGCCGCTGCCCCTGCAGCAGCCGATCCGCCCGAGCCGCCGAACCGCCCGAGCAGCCGAGCCGCCCGAGCCGCCGAGCCGCCGAACCGCCCGAGCCGCCGAGCCACCCGAGCCGCCGAGTCGCTGAGCTGCCGAGCTGCTGGTGCTGCCGAGCCGACGAGCTGCCGAGCCGTCCGAGCCGCCCTGTCCTCTACCCTCGGTCCGTCTCGCCTGCCCGGTAAGAACAGCACCTCTACTACTGCGCTGCTCTTACCCTACTGCTCGTGCTGCCAGTCTACTGCTGTCATGGCTACCCCCAGTGTCCTCGCTTTTGACGCTGAGGGTCGGGCCATTGACTTTGACGTCTGGGTAGATGACCTGCAGCTTTTCCTACAGTGCGATAGGGCAGACGGTCTCTCCCTCTTTGACCTCACTTCTGGTGCCTCTCCTGCCCCCGCTGCTGATGCTGACGCCACTGTTCGCTCACAGTGGGCCACACGCGATGCTGCTGCACGTCTTGCCGTGCGTCGCCACTTGCCTACCTCCGAGCGTGCGCACTTTAGCCAGTACAAGAGTGCTAAGACCTTGTACGACGCTGTAGTTGCACGCTACTCTTCCCCTGCCACTGCTGCACTTAGCCGCCTCATCCTGCCGTTCGAGTGTAGGTCATCATGTACATGAGGCAGCCCACAAGCTCTGGATACGGGCCACTCAGCTCTACGGACTCATTCGAAGGCAGAGCTGAGAGCGAGTGCCCGGTAGGTAGAGGAGTGGACTGTGGCGAGGAGTACGTGAAGCGGAAGCGCTGAAGGACCTGCTGCACCATGTGTGACTCTTCCCTGACCTCGCAGCTTTTCCCACAGTTGCTGACCTCATTACGCACCTCCGCACTAGTGACATTCGCTACCGCGCTGCCCTTCCCGCTGAGTTCTGCGCCAAGAACCCCCCCCCTATGTACATCACCCTCTACTACATAGTCACCCGCCTCCCTGACACCCTTCGCCCGGTCAGGGACCACTTTCTCTCTGTTTGCCCCACCACCCTCACCGTTGACCTCCTCGAGGAGCGCCTCCTAGCAGCAGAGAAGAGCATAGTCGCTGTAGGAGCCTCTCGTGGTGACCCGCGCGCCCCTGTCTTTGAGGGGTGCTCCCCCTCTCCTCTCTTGCCCTCTGTTGCCTCTGCTGCTGCGGCCGACCTCGTTGGTCTTGAGTCGGTCGGTGCGGCGTCTACCCCTAGCGGGAAGCGCCGCCCTGGCAAGGGCAAGGGGGGCAGGGGCGCTGGAGGAGCTAGCGGGGGCGGTGGAGGCAGCGGTGGAGGCGGCGGAGGGGGTGGGGGTGGCGGTGGGGGTGGTGGCGGGGGTGGAGGTGTCGATGGCGGCAGTGGAGGCGGAGGCGGAGGCGGAGGCGGCGGTGGCGGTGGGAGCGGAGGTGGCGGAGGTGGCGGCGGTGGAGGAGGCGGCGGCGGGGGAGGTGGAGCTGGTCGGGGTGGCACTGCGCAGAGGGTTGGCTCCGGTGGTGGTCAGCGCCAGCAGCAGCAGCAGCAGCAGCAGCAGCAGCGCACTCGGGACATCCCCCCCCCTCAGCAGCTCCGTGAGTGGTACGCTGCACGCCAGCGGGGTTGGGGTACTGGTCCGTGCACCTACGTCCTACGCACCGGCGACCGCGCGGGTGAGCCGTGCGGGGGTGCGCACTCCACCCAGCGCTGCTTTGGCCGCCTGACGGACGCTTGGCGTCACCAGTTCCCTGAGGCCACTGAGATCCCTCGCTGGGGCGAGCTGTCTAGGGCGGGAGTAGCTATCTTTGACCTTGACTTTGATGCTATTCTTGCTGCCATGTATGCTGTGACTATTAGTGATGAGGGTGACTGTTACCGGTGTTTTCCGCCCGACCCGGGCATTGAGACTGCTGCTCTAGGTACTGGTGAGGCTGCTGCTCTAGGTGCTAGCGAGGCTGCTGCTCTAGGTGCTAGTGCGTCTGCTTCCTCAGGTGCTGGTGAGTCTGCTCTCTCAGGTACTGCGTCGGCTTCGGCCTCCCACACCTTCACCCTTGACTCGGGGGCTTCTCGCTCCTTCTTTCGAGACCGCACCACACTCACTCCGCTTAGTCGGCCAGTTGCAGTCTCTCTGGCAGACCCCTCTGGGGGTCCTGTCCTTGCTCACTTCTCCACTGTCCTCCCGTGTCCGGCGGCCCCCTCTGGCACCCTGTCTGGTCTTTACCTCCCCTCGTTCTCTACGAACTTGGTGAGTGGTGCTGACCTACAGGATGCGGGGGTTCACCAGTTCACTCCTGCGAGCCAGCGGGTGACC